GGGGGAAGGAAGAGCCCCGCCGGGGCCCTGCTCGGAGCAGACCGGCGGCGGATCCCGGGGCTCAGGCGCTCGGCCGGGGGGGGAGGTGGGACGGGCAACTTTCTGGGCACCCGGGTCGCTCCAGCAAGGCGCTGCTGGAAGAGTCTCCCCACCCGGGCGGATCATCGGGGGAGGATCCCTCCCGCTTGTGGGCTGTGGGGTGCGGAGCAGGCGGCCGGCCTCTCAGCGGTGGCCCCACCCCCTTGGAGCCGCCCCCCAGGTGCTGATGGCCTTCTTGCATCTCGCCCTAAAACACGTTCATTTGTGTCCCAGGTTCTCCTTCACTTCGAAATGCCGGAACTTCAACCCGAGCGTTCTGCCGCACCCAGAATCCGGGCTTCTCATGCGCACAGAAGACTGATTTCTTGGAGAGAAGGCTGGCTTCCAGCCCATGAGTTGGCACCTAAAGCCTGCCAGCTGTTACTGGATAGCAGCTGATCCCTTCCTATTGGCCAGGACAGGACTTCTTAGTTGGAGCGCAAACATTTGGACGGCTGCACATTTACTTGACCTGTTAGTTTTCTATACACAGGGTAACTTGTGCATGGAGAAACTTCAAAGGAAGAGGCGCATCCCAGAGCCAAGCTGACTCCCTCATCTGCTGTTTGTGAGAATAACCCACCTTTTGCTTTGACTACCAAGCAGGGTGAAAGCCAGGCTCTTTACAAGAATTGCTTCCAGAGCAGGGAGCGCAAATGGCCTAAAGAAAAAAGCAAACCACAAGATGTAAAAAGAAACGATACTGTAAGCCAAGCCAGACCCACAAGACAGCCTAGACTTGCTATCGAAGTCTGATTTGAGGGCAGAGAGAGGAGGAGGAAACTGTAGGCAATGGGTTTAAGCCATTTTCTTCTTCGGCTAGATATGAGAAATTAAAAGACCTCTGGAAGCCACCCACCATCAAGCTGTGCTTTAAACAGTTCAGTTCTCCAAATGGATCCAGCTGCACCTTTCCTAAATCAGAGATGCCTGATTTATTCATGGCATCAGGGATGCAGAGCACAAACACAAGTAGGCCAGCATGAGCACGGCTGGAATACGTAGCAAGCCATTTTGCCATTCCAAGAGTAAGGGAGAGAATCGTTAACGGCTTTAAATGACAAGGCTAAGACGACTGGGAAGGCCAGTCTAAGTGGCGGATGCTACGTTCCAAGAAGATAACACGATGTGCTTTCGCAGATGAAAAGGTTAACATTTCATGGTTTGTAGCTGCCTCTGGATAAACTACCCTCCAGCTGCAATGTACATGCCAAAAGAGCAAAAAGCTGTTTGACAATCTCAGACTAGTATATGATATACCCCTAGCGCTGCGTGTCTTCCACAAAGCACCTTCAGATGAAGTTTGTGCTTGACTATATGCTGCTTCCAGACTGATGGATGCTAGAACTTGCTGCTCCTTCCTGAACTGAATTGCTCCTTGTCACAGTATCCACTACGTGTGCTAGGAAGAAGCAAATTCGCGATTCAGTGAGCCAAAGGACGGGTTAGCTGAGAAATAATGTTCAATTGCGTTATGCTGAACCACATACTGGACACCTCATTAAATGCATAATTACAGGCAAGTAAATTATAGCATAAATTAGGGGGAAGCAGGAAGACAACCTGAAAGGCAAGAGAGCAGAAGATAGGCTTTCAACAAAGTACTGGCAGCATTTTAGCCTTGACACACATTTCAGGTATTTCCCCATATGAATAAAAACTGTTTTTGTTAAAACAGGCAGTATCTTCTGGAATAATAGTTATCAAAGCTGCTATTAATTTTCTGTTGTTTGTACTCCTTTGCAATTAATGGTGGGGGATTTAACACAAGCCCCTCATAATTCAAAACAAGGAAAACAATGGTCTTATTCAAAGGAAGATACTCATGAAGAACGTGCTCATCTGGACAGATTAATTTGAAAGACGAGAGCACCATTCTGGTAATCCAGATGCACGGATGGCTTCAGCCCTCATTGCTGCTCATAGGCAGATATACAGCCTGTATTCCTGGCTCTTGTTACAAGGTTTATGCTGGAGAGGGGTTCACCTTTTCTCTGGATATTGTTCTGTCCATGGCTGGATGCAGTGATACAGACAATTAAGTTTCACTAACTAACTTAGTTAAGGCAAAAGGTACCATAAGCAAAAGCAGTATGGCCCTTGCTAACTGCAAGCAGCAGTTTTGTAGAGACCACACAGCAGAGGAGGCTAGTGATTGAAAAAGGTTAGATTGTTTTGAAGTGAAAACCCAGCTAGCATAGTACTAAAACATTTTCTGTTGTTTGTACTCCTTTGCAATTAATGGTGGGGGATTTAACACAAGCCCCTCATAGAAACACAATAGTGTGAAAATTAAGGAGCTAATATAAATTGAGTTCTACTGGTATAATGTGGAAACTCTTTGAAGGGGCAGCAGAAAAAAAATATTATGCTCTTTGTCCCAATACAGTAAAACCTCATTTTAGCAAACTATTTGGGGAAAAGGGGTCCATTATTCCCGAAAATCCACTAAACTGAAGAGTACATCATGACGATGATGCAAAGTATGGCATTTGTGTGGTGTCATTGTGCAAACCACCTCATTTGTGCAAATTATGTCATTCCACAAATTGCAACAGAATTTTATCTGCCGCATGTAATATTCAGAAAGCCGAAATCCAGAAAACTGAGGTATCACTGTACAGCAAAAGCTAAACACTGTAATTTATGTTACAGAGCATTTTATTACATAAATAAGTTCTGTACAATCATTTACATATCTACAAGTCACTGGAAAAACCTGCATTAACCTATTGTTGAATCCATTATAAGGGCTTTGTGGTTTTCAATGAAAGATGACATTTAGCTGGGCTAGACTGGTATCACAATTTCTGCCCAAAGAATGGTCAAATGCTGGGAAATTCTGCTGTAATTTGCCTGAATGTTTCCAATAATGAATTGAATTAGGTTGCTTAATTCCAAAATGAAGCAAAGAATTAGCAACAGCAATGAGGCAAGCTCTATTTCTTTCATGAGAGCAAGTTTGTACTCTCAAGGCCCAAGAACCATTTCTCCAAAGATGAAACGTTTAATGTCACAAAGACCAGCTGGGCAAGAATCTCTATGCATGCCACTGTTGTCGCCAAGAGTTATCAGCACTGAGGCACTGAAAGGATCCTTCTCCTCAGAAACAGGAGTCCATTAGAATCCATATTTTAGCTTTGACAGGGGAGGTGAGAAGTCCATTCACAAGAATCAATCTTTAATACCCATTCAGTTGTTTGGTTTTGTTTGAGAAGGTTGAGACACACGCTTGATGCTACTTTCAATGAAGAGTTTCAAGCCTTGTAACTCTTGGGAGTACAGATATTCCAAGTACCAGTCCCATCTCTTCCCCTGCAGATAAAGTATTAGAGTAGTTACATCTCAGGTTCAGAAATTCTCCTTTGCCATACAATAGCCAAACATATTCTGTGCAGCCTTTTAATTCACAGATCAATCTGCAAATGCAACAGCCTCAAAGTACTAACATTTTGTAACTTAAACCTGGCAGCAAAGAATCATTGTACAGCCTTGTTCTCAGAAGCAATGCCCAACTAGTTCCAATATGGCAACTTCCCAAGAAATTTAGTCATTTTCAGAATGTACGACTATTTACCTGAATTAGTTTGATATCTGGGATTTTGTCTTCTGATTGTGCCTAAAAAGAAGAGAAATTTTAAAAGTTAATCGTTCACTGGGCCTTGAAAAGGTCTTCAAGAAAGTTATTAGCTAACACGCCCTAGAAACTACATCAAAAACTTGCCTTTCTGGGAATAACATACCACTGCTGAAGGAAAATAACACAATAATGTTGCATTTTGGGTTCTAATAGAACCAAATCAGGTGCACTGGTATCTCTAAGCCATGCCATGAAATTAGGATACATTAATGCAAACTTGGCATTTTGTAGTGGTCCTATACAAGTTGAGTTGTGTCAGAATGGTTTTGGAAAATAGTTTGGTCTCCCTGAGCTCAACATGAGGAAGTTCAGTGAATCAAAAGAAATCTAGAGCACTTATAGTACAGATAGCTATTACTGCAAATAAGCAATTGCCATTCCACTGTAAACTATAAATTGAATTGTAATGGACTTAATTACTGGGGACATTTAATTCTCTGCATGTGCTTCTCACTTTCTATCTTCACTAGTGTTCTTCACCTTAGTCTTCCATCTCTTTTTAAAGGCTATCTATATTTCATATTAGTGATCTGTTAAATAACCAATCCTATTGGTTATTTTTGGTGTAAGGCAGCTTCTATCTCCTTCAGAAAACTACCAGTTACTGAAGCTAGTAATTGCCAAATCCCCAAAACATTGCTTTATCTTTAGGAGTTGAAGGGGAATGCTCATTCAGTACAACTCTGCTTTTCACCAAAGCACTTAGAAAGAAGAATCAGGGCTGGGCAAAATATTAGTTTTCTATACTGCTCCTAAAAGAGATGGGATCTCAGTGTGCAGTTCTGATGTAGATACCATAGGGAGCTAGAAGCACATGCTTCGATAGACATCTCATCAGGAATAAAAAAAAAATGTCCTTCAATAGAACAAAAAAATTATACTGAAGCGCATACTTCCTGCACTATGCTATGTTGAACTGTTTGAGAGGAGGTGCTGCAGTTTGTCTCCTGGAGATGTGAGGCTCCCTCCGTAGAGATAAAGCAGCATTTTTGACATTTTTCCTACCACCTTTCCTCCCTAAATGAAGGCTGGTCTTACATATTAAGAGCAGCTAGATTTATAAGAGATCACTGTCCATGTTAGCATACACAAATTAGCATAATCAGTCTGTATATATGTGTAAGAAAACAAGATGATGATTTTGATGTCTTGCCTAAAAATGGTGCATGTTTCTATGAATATTCATTAACCATTCATTCTATTTCTCACTAGTTAGGAAGAAGACACATGGATCTTGGAGGAAACCAGAGCATCTCCATGGGGAAATCTTCACAATCCTTCTAGCTTCCAAATTCCATTAAGCATTGCCATAAAAGTTAAGCTTAAGAACTAGAAGCCTTTTTTAAAGGAATAAAGTTTGATTACACAGAGTATGTGTCAATTTGGGCTCAGCTTCTAACTGTAAGTAGAATATTTGACAGTGATACAAGCAGCAAGAAAACCCCTTTTTAAGTTTAGGTCCCAAAGAAAGGAAGTAAAATTAATTAGGGTACTTGACAAAGGGAATCAAAAAACATGTTGTGCCTTAACTGGACAATGCCCAGTGCCTGCCAGTTAGCTACCCAGGAGTTGAACCTAAGTCTCACACTCAATCTTGGGAAGCACATGCCAGTTTAAGGTTTTATAGCATAGCTGCAGCTAGGCCACACTGTGCCAATGAACAAAATATGACACAATGAAAACTAGTGATGAACACACAAAGGTTTAGGTGCACTCAATAAGCACAATTAGACAAAGCAAAGAGGATGGTACTGAAAGATAAAAACTCCATTTACCTGCTGCATGAAGAGTACAGCATACCCTGTCAAGGCAGGATGGTACACTATATTCAAGGCCTTCCTGTATTCTTGCACCATGGTCTTCTCCAGCACTTCGGGCTCCATATAAATCCCCTGAGGGTGGAAGTCTTTCTGGAAGACATTTGAGGTCCACAGGCATCCCACCATGCTTGTTATATATTGGTTGTATTCTTGGCAAGTCTGGTTGCTAAACTTAAACTGCAGCAAAGTCTGAGAGGATAAAGGGAGACAATGTATCATCCGGTTTGCAATGGCTCTTTATCTCTTGCTAAAAGCAACAGCATTTCTCCCTGCACCACCGTTACGTACAGAATACCACTGATCACCTGAACTAGGCTGCACATCTTGAAAGTTACCGCCTCCCCAATCACATACTGCAGTTCAATAGGAGTGGGGGGGAAAAATGGAAGATGTTTTTAAGCTCTGTTTGGGATCAGATACTTGGCATGTTCAATTTAAACTAGATGCAGCAAGGTTAAGAAGGAACAGTTCGTAAGGGCAGAGTTCATCTGGTGCGTAGATTCCCTTTTTCCCCAGTCCCTTAACAGCTGCCTAATAAGCTCTTTATAAATAAATTAAAAAAAAAGCCAAATTTACTAAGTTCAGGGAGACACAACACCATCTGTCCTCAGTAGAACAGATACGGGCCTTTTCAAACTGCTTATCAAAACTGCCAGGAGGGAGGTAGTCTGAGGCTGGCAACCATGCAGCAGCAATATTTGTTAACATCCAACATAGACAGTTCAACAATTTATATTATTTATAAATATTAACAATTTAATTTTTCTCATAGTATGTGCAGATACTGGATGCATGAATAATATCTAGGAGATACAAGACAAATCTGTATCCCAGGTCATGTATGTTATGTACCTTACATTAATTTTCAGTTAACGTAGACTGTACGTGTGCCAAAGTTCAATTTTTTTTTTGGTTGAATAAGGAAAGAAAAAAAACAGTGCAAAGAATAGCAATCTCAAGAGAGAAGATCCTCAACCATAAGATGAAGTCTATTGGATAGTATCAGACTCAGATCATATGAAAAGGCAGGGGAAAAGACAGAAACTATTTTCTCAGGCAAAGGCTGAAAAAAGAATGGAATCTCTGAACACGTACTGTAATTTGGGAAAAGATATTTGAAAGATAAGGCAGACAAAAGTTAATTATTATATTGTGGCAATGACATACCAGGCACAATGCCTTATTTTATTGTACCTTTTTAGCTTGTTGATTTTGTTTTGCAGCTATCAAATTGGTTCGATACCTAAAATAGAAACAAGCGGGAGGATTAATTATATTTTGAAACTCCAAACAGGACTGCTAAAAATTCAACCCATCAGCAGTGGCTAAGAAAGATAGTTGATATCTAGACTGCTTCCGTTGCTGGTCCCATTCTCAACATATTAGGCATCAAGAAACCCTGCCTGCCCTGTTTTATTGAGGTAACTTATGCTTTCCTTCCATGATTTCAGAACAGGAACCTGGAGACAAAAATACAGGAGCCACTCAAGACAGTTCTTCTTTCTAACCAGCTGAATCTGGTACAGAATACAAAGCGGAATTTGAGAGCCTTTCTTAAAGTTCTGAAGCAATTCCTACTCTGGAAAGGCAAGTATCGTGCCGGACTGATGCCTATCGTTTTTCACCCTGGGGTCTACATACTGTATAAGGAGACGATGCATCTAACACAGGCGGTAGCACACACCTTCATGCGGAGGAACAGCATGCCATTCGGTCACCACAGAAACTGGAAATCCCCCAATAGGCCCCAACTGCTCCTCTGTATAATAAACATCGCTTTCAGTATAGCTCCCAGAATGCATCTTTCCAGGTAAGCTACCTGCAGCTTCTGAGGGGAGGAAGCTAACCTAAAGATCCCTAAGGTAGTATTCAGCAACGGGTAAATTCTCAGATGCAAATGTTAGAATTAATGCTGCTGAAAAACAACTTTGTTAAACTACAAGCCTTGTAAAAACACATCCAGATTTACCGCTGACGACAACAGCTCAGTTCTTTGCTGACCACCAGTAAACAGGGCATCATGTCCCCAGTTAACATCACTCTGTGTTATACACGATTACACCTGAACTTCAAATAATGTAAAGCTTCACCAATATTATTCAGGTAATTTAATGACAGTGATCTGTCCATAAAATCATGTCAGGTTTGATGGATGTGATGTTTGTGGAGAACTACTTAATACTGTTTCTTTTTAAAAAGTTACTCTAATTTCACAGGGTGGATCCAGATATCTCTTACAAGCTCATACGAAAATACTATCTGAGGCTACTCTTTTTGGTCACAAAAATCATGAAAGCAAGTAACCAAGGCAACAATAGATTTAAGAGAAATAAGCCATCAACTGGGAATTCATTTTTATAACTATCTTGTTTATCAGATTTGAGCCCTGGATTCTTGGCCAAAGAAAGCAGATCTTGGCAGAATGCTAGTATTTTAGGGAAGGAAAAGAAGAGGCACTGAAAAGACATTTGGCGTGTAGATCTCAGAGAACCATTCTCAAGCTAGGTCAGCAGTTTGTTTTAAACTCCAATATTTAAAATGTAAGCCATGCGTACTGGCATTTGACCTCAAGCTCTGAAGTGCTTTTTCACATAATGCTGAAACACAGCCCACTTTTGTCCATCATAGGCAGAACGCTTAGTTGTATCAAGAACAGATAATTTCTAGATTATTCCCACAAACCAAGCATGAAGATCACACATATTCTTCCTCTACCAAAGAAAAATCAGAAAAATTCATGGCACATGTATTCATGAATTTTGCTAAAACAGCAGCTCCGCAAAGGCTAATATATATGACACGTACAGCTTTCTTTCTTTGCACAACTAAATGGACTTTATCAGAACAGAACTCACTGTTTCCACAACCTCAGCCCACCTAACCCAGTATTGGACAGATTATGGCCCCCAGATGTTTTGAAAGGCAAAAATATGGGAATTATTTCTAGCATAGAGAACAAAAAGAAAGGCCTTGTCAATACCTGAACATAATGTGGCATAGATGGTCCACTGTGACAGAATCCATGCTAAGCAGCGCTGGGTAGAAAACTCCAGCAGGAGGCATTACAACCAAAGGGAGGTTATACTTCTGATATGTGTCACATACCTAGAAATAGGAAGGAATTTCTGTGTTCAATGCTCTGCTTTCAGTACGGTATTTACATAGAAAAACTGAGTGTCTTATCCTTGCCATCCACATATTCATGCTGGGTCCCAATCATTATGCAGAACTTAATACAGATTTATTACATGTAGATCAAGAACACAGATAATGAGATCAGTTGTTACTGTATGGATCTTCTCCTTTGCAGAAACCTTTAGGTTTTCTTCAGCTATTTATTGAAGACAGATCCTTCCAATTGGTGCTACTCAATTGTGCAAATCTCTTAAAATGCTCACCGAATACCAAATATATTAGCTTTTAGATACAATATTTTATTTACTTGAAATTTAGTAAGGTCTGCAAATCATAATTATTTGTTTGTAATAGTTTGATTGTTTTCTCCTGTTAATGATGTTTAGTTGCTTTTACTGCTATCCTAAACAGATTTAAATTTTTTGTTGAGGATACCTTGGAGGCCATCTTTCTGAAACTGGAGAGGCATTGTTCTAAGAAAATAGAGCACCGACAAAGAAAAAAAACAACGGTTTCTGTACGAACAAAAGTTTTTGAATTCACTAAATATATTTGAAACTTTAAAAAGAAAGGGAGGGAAGGTTTATTTATGTTTTTTTCCAGATTATGTTCGTTGCTTTTCCTTCATGTTTTTCCTACTATTAGAGCCTTCTCACTAATGCTATCAAACTGCATTATCTAAATGTTTGGAGCAAAGTTGTCGTGTGAATAGCTTACATACTATTTCATAGAATTCCAGAATGAAGTGCATTAAAAAGGCAGAGTTGTTCTCCAAGTGCAGGGCAAGGGTGGAAAGCCAGCCGACAAAATGGATGAGTTCTGCCACAGAGCTAACCAGGCCCGAAAGAGTTGTGTCCCTGCAGCAGAATGAGACGCAAGCATGAGCATTAACTTCCCCGTGTAAGAGCATGTTTTTTTTCTTTTTTCAGCTTCCAGATGGAAATCACAGTGCAGAACAGGCAGAACACCTTTTTAAGATGACACTTACAGGACATCTGCATTTAAGTCTGTTGTCATGTCTGCTTGCAAGAAGTGCCAATTCAGCCAGTTCAGTAACAGTTCCCTCAAGCTTTCAAGGACACTACACTATAGAAGAACAAGCACACAAAAACACACGTATCAAATAGCTGCAATTCGGTCTTAAGGAATTATACTTTATACATCAGGACCACAGCAAAGAAAAGACAGCAATCAAAAGATAGCAGCAGAGAAAGGCCTTCTTGCAGGGTCAATAAAAAGGTAATAGCATGACTACAGGTAGATTTTTTAAAAAGGGAATTTTTCAGTTAAATGATACTAGATTTGCATTTTTGGTGGTGTTATTGGCAATGTGTTCCCATTTCTCTTTTTCCCCTAGCACAATTCCCATATTCCCTGATTCTACCTCATTGGACAAGTGTATGTAAGAGAAATCTGCATGCTTCTTTTGGCACAAGTAGCCATAAGTTAGTCAGTAAACCCAAATACTGCCTCCTGCAGCTGGGAGCCTTGGATCAAACTTGTTAACATTTTGGAAAAATGGCAGTCAACAGATGGCATATTCCTTAGTATGTCAGAAATCAAGTTTGTCCTGTCAAAAATTATATTCAATGGCCCCTTCTTTTACCTTAAAATAAAGAGATGAGGTGAAAAACAGCTGTGTCAATGGCTTGCAGAGATAAGGCTTCATTTCTGAAAGTGAAGAAAGAAAGAGTGATTTTGAGGCAAGCCTGTCTGGACTACAAAGCAGGATAAGATCGGTTGGGTCTGCATCACATACCTGAGAAAGTGCTGAGAGGGATCCAAGTGATCAACTGCAGGACCTGTGACCTACAGCAGCAACCATCCCAGAATGGTAGGCTCCTGTACAAAAATTCTTCACAAGATGAGAAGCCCTCCTGAAAGGCACAAACTCTATCAGGGAAGCCCAGATGTTCTTCCAAACAAATTCTCTTACTTTCTCCTGGACAGCAGATTCTTAATCATCCCTGCCACTTCTTTTGCTGATATTTCTTTCATAGCCACTCCCTTCTGCTTCGTACTTCACAGCTATGCAGCATCCTCTTCTGATTTTTCACTTAAAATGCATGACCTGCTTCTAGCTTAATCTCTTCTTTCAGTAGAGCAAGCAATATTCTACTGAAAAAGGGAATATTGGACACAATGAACAAAGACTGGAATTCTATTCCGCAGAGAAAGAAATTAGATGTATGTAACAGGCTTTAAGCTAGAAGGGTGGATTTCATCAGAATATTATGAAAAAATCTTCACAGTACTTACAATACAACAAATAATGGGAGTGGTAGGGCTCTACCTCATGGGAAGTCTTCAAAGACCTGTTGGGAGTACTTAACTTCCCTACAGCCAGCAGGAGGCTCTATTAGATGACTCCTAATGTCTCCTGAAGTCTAAGAGTGAATTAGTTTTAATTCATTTTACTTTTAAGAGTGAATTAAAGTAGATGATACTCATAGACATTTTCATGAAAAGAGAATATTCAAACAGTAACTCAGTTACCGATCCCTGAGGATCTCCTCATTGTCTCCAATGATCAACACACCAGAGACAGTTCCATCCTGGATCATTTGACTAATTTCAAGCCAGCTAAAGAGATGAGAGTATACAGTGGCTGAAGAACTAGATTATATATCAGCAGTACCTCCTTTGAACCTCAGCCCTAACATCAATTCATTGGGTGACTTTAGGCAAACTAAAGCTAATATGCATTTTCAAACTTTTTCCTGTGGCATACAAGTTGCTGCCAGCTCTAATCTCAGGCACACTACTTAGGATAGCTCTGAAAGTTCATTTATTTATCTAGCAAATTCATATAGCCACCCATCTCACAAAAAGTTACTTTGGGAGGTTTACAAGCAAAATAACAATTAAAACCATATCACGATATAAAAAAAAATCAGGCATAAATAACAACAAAAATAAAAAATAAAAACTTAAAGGAACAAAACATAAAAGAACCCGAGGATAGCAGGAGGACAACCATCATTTAGCCTCATTCAACTACTTTGTAGGCTCGCCATGGGATCCCCGGGGTTGATGGAAAAACCACGTTTTCACGGCTTTCCAGAAGGCTGACAGAGATGGAGCTAACCTCACTTCAGGGGGAATGATGTTCCAGAGGGCGGGGGCTACAGCAGAAAAGATGCGTCTTCTGGGTCCCACCAGATGGAACTCCTTTGCAGAGGGGACCCAGAGCATACCTCTTCTGCTGGGCCTGATAGGACAGGCAGATGTAACCGGGAAGAGACGATCCCTCAAATAACCTGGTCCCATGCCATGTAGCCCTTTAACAGTCAAAACCAGCACCTTGAATTGCACCCAGAAGCAAAACTGACAACCAGTGCAGCTTGCAGAACAGAGGTGTGATGTATGCCATCCTAGAGGCATGCATGACTGTCTGTGCAGCTGCATTCTGCACTAGCGGAAACTTCCAGCAGCCCCATGTAGAGCGCATTACAATAAGCTATTCTGGAGGTGACTAGGGCATGAGTGACAGCAAGTAGAGACTCGTGGTCCAGGAAGGGGTGCAACTGGTGCACAACATGAAGCTGTGCAAAGGCTCGCCTAGCCATGACTGCCACCTGCTCCTCGAATTGTGCACTGGGTCTGTCTGGGGCAGTGCAACCCCATCCAATACCAAAGACGGTAAATTCCCAGATCCAGAAGGCCCAAAGACCCAGAGCCGCTCTGTCTCGCCAAGGTTCAGCTGAAGCCTGTTACTTCCCACCCAGAGCCCACACAGCCTCCAGGCACCAAGACGTCAACAGCATCCCCTAACGTGCCAAGGACGGAGATATATAACTGGGTATCATCAGCACACTGGTGATACCTCACCCCATGGTGATGAATGATCTCACCCAGCGGCTTCATGTAGATGTTAAATAGGAGTAGAGAGAGCACCGAACCCTGCAGAACTGGGGCGTGACCACTGTCCCTTGCCAGGCCCTGAACTACCTGGGATAGGCTCCTGGCTGTCATGGCAGCCATGAACTCCTGAGCTACCTCAGACCCCACCCCCAGGAAGGCAGGTTGATATCCCCCAAGACCATAAGTCCAGGGAACTCCACTGTCAATCCTGAGATGGAATCAAGGAGCATAAGCAGGGAGGTTGCTACATAGCAGGAAGCTGGTACAATATCAACAATCCCAACTGATCCCTAGAGCCCAGCTTAAGGAACAGGGCCTCACATCTGGCAACTTGTGGAGCAGCGCCCCTGAACCCCCCTGGATGACAACTGTGGAGTCTCAGCTGATGCCACACACAAAGCCCAGCTGGGCACATTTCCAAGAGGTGAACACTCCTCCTGGATCCAGCCAGGTCTCGGTAATACATGCTAGGTCGGCCCTCTGATCTGTGATTAGATCACAGATAAGGAAGGCCTTATCACAGACCAAAGGTCTGCTGATCAGGAAATGGGGCTGAAACCCAGGGGCTGGAACGCAGAAACAGACAAGGCACTGGGCCTGCCTTCCCCGTGAGTGTCCTGCCCACAGTCTCCTGCCATATCTTCCCATGCCTGTCACCACCATAACATTCCAACCTGCCCCCAACCACCCCGAGGCCTCTACATGCCCCATCTGATGCCATCTGGTTCCAGAGACAGGGGATCCTGCCATTCCAACACACACCCCAGAGGGGCAAGGACAAAAATATCCTTTCAGGAATGATGGGAGGGAACTGCATACAAACTAACCTGCAAGAAACATTCAGCTTCCAAGACTTTCCCCAAGAAATCCTTGAACTCCAGTTCACATTGCTGGTTTTCGATCTTAATCCAAGGGCATTCTGAGTTATAAATAAGACACAGAGACAAACATTTGTTTGAAGATAAAATCCTTTCTTCTTCATTGTGTGCACAAGCAATAATATAAGCCATTATGTGTGCAAGCAACAGTATATGCTTTAGCATAATTTATCTTCACTTAGATGGTACACATTGCAACCAATGAGTTCCCCTACCTTCTCTGAATGTTTGACCAAGCCAAAAGTACATCCTCTGGTAGACAACATCATCTCTGACACAGTTAATGTAGTGGAGTAACAGACGATTTCCTAACACTGAGCCTATTTGGGTAGGAAGCTATAAAAGCAATCAGGAGAAGACATTGTAAACTAACATGTAGACACCGCTGAGCTAATGCTATTTTGTTTTTTAGTCATTTTTAAACACACACCCAGGAGCTGCTTTAACTGCTGCAGTGACCTGATGGTTTTTAATTGTTTATTTTTGTTTAGAAAACAAAATTCTTTTCTCTGGGTTGAGTTAAAAAGAAAACTGCCTAAGACCAGACACCACAGAACACCCATAGAAGTTATCAGGACAAAAGTCTGATAGGAATGTACAATAATCCTTAATACAAGTTCATGTTTTTATAATACATTGCAACCATCACGTACTTCCAGATCTTTTAAAGACTATAGGTCAGTTTAGACTGATTTGATTTGTATCAGATTAGTCAGGCATTTATTATTACAGCATATTAACAAGCTTCAGGGGCTAAGCTTAGCACTAATACTCCCATCCTTTATAGCTTCTGCTCACTTTGATGTCAGCCACTTACCTCTAAACAATGGATGTTCTGCAAAAGCTGGGGGAAGGTCTGCAGATGCTGTACTGGGAAGAACTCTGGATGACATTTGGCCTTTGCGCTCTCAGCCGAGCAAGCAGAGTTGGTGTTACACATAGGCATTGTCAACTTTGCACTCCATTTCTACAGAAAGCAGAAACCCCACCCTATTAATTCATAGATACAATTCTATTGTGATGCTATAGTGTTAATCCTCAACCGAGTCCTCTAAAGCTACCCTTTTGTAAATTATTTCTTTAATGGATCATCTCTATCCTTATACACACATATATGCAGCTACCTTCAGTATGTGAAATTCAAGGCAGGATCAAAATAGAGGAAAGAAAAGTTCAGAAACTTTGCGTACTCAACTAATGTAGTAAAATCAGAAATCATCAGGAAAAATTAAAAGAAACCTCCCCCCATATCTGTGCAGAGATTAAAAGATGAGATAAAAGGAGAAAAAATGAGGCATCATGCAAATCTGTTACTGAAGTTACTAATGTAATGAAACATGGTTGGCAAATAATGAAGAAACTGATCATGAATTATAAATAGGCACAATCTAAAGAATAGCCAAGAAAGTGTTGGCTGTCAATACAACCAAAACATTAACAAAAAATTGACACACAGTCATAGACTAATAACTGCATCTAAGCAATCTAAAATAACTTACTTTCTTTGGGGGTTGAAAAAGGACAGAACCTGCTAAAACTGGCAGAGATGTAGATGAAATGCCATAAATGCGTTGTCTTATGTTACTAATTGCTGTTTTCCACAAGTTTTCTGAATTCTTAAATCGTATCTGAGAAGAAATGAAAATGAAAGTTGCCTTTATCCAAGATTAAAAAGGAAGAGTATACATAATGCATGCTGTAAAAATGTGTGTGTGTATGTATATATCTATGCATGTGGTATATGCACACAGTTGTATATGTAAACCTGCCTTTTCAAACTGTTTAGGCTGGTAGAACTGCAGAGTTTGCTGAGCAGAAGACCATTCAATGCAGTAGCAGTGTGAATGAAATACTATTCAATATGATTTCTATTTTCATTTAAGTTATTTGTATATAGAATTCTAACAGGACTCAGTTTACCAACTTTGGTATTAGGACATAAGATTATTTCAGTATGGATTGTACAAGAGTCTTCATCTTCTGTTTCAAACTTTGCTCACTCCTCTTCTCTGGTTTTCAAAATTGCAATCTCTTTAGCATATGTTGTTCAGAAGACTCAGTTTCCAACATCATGCAATATACATCCAATACAGAACAAATAGGAAGAGATTCTCATAACCATGTAATTGTCAGCTAAAGGTAACAACATAGCCATTCAAGTCTGTAAATGTTGATCAACGTTGAAGAATAATTACATCAATCACATGAGACTTGGGCTTCACCATAATCTTTAACTTCATATTAAATAGTACTTCATGCAATTTAAGGCTACAGCTACACACACACACACTTCAAATATTCCTTCTTGCAATCATAAAGAATTTAAGAACTTGATGCTAGTCCTCTCATAGAGAAAGCACAGCATAGTCTTCATTTCAGTCATCCTTTTCCTCACCTTTGTGCTTTGGAACAAATCTGGAGTCACCATGGCTGGAGCAAAGCTCTTATACATTAATAGAAGAGCCTGCAAAGGAGCTTCTGATCCCTGAATAAAAATAAGAACAAAGACAGAGTCCAAAGGTAATTGTTGGGAAAGGATGGAACTAAAGCCCTCTTATTATAACCCACAAGTACTAGGAAGATGAGGATTATCCTAAATCCTGATCTGTGAGAGCAGTTATGAAAAGAGAAATAGAATCTAATAAAGTGGTTTCTACTAATCACCTTAAGAACGGAAGACTGGGATAAAAATGGAAATAAATAAATATTGGGTATTGATTAGCTTTCACACTATATAAAAGCTATTCTGTCACAGATATGAGACTTAAATTTTATAAGTTGTGCCTCACATGACCTTAGTTTTAAGTGACTCACCATCTTGGCTCGTAGATCCAAGAGCCGTCGCACACGGAAATGTTTCACTAGGAAGAAAGACAAACATCTAATTATTTGGTGTTTTAAGAATTGATATTCTGGCCCTGATGAGGCTATATATAAAAAGGTACTTTTATTCTTGCAGCATACTAGACTTGGGACTAGAATAGCATATGCAAGCAAAATTGACCACCTTCCTTATTCTATATATTATAATCTTATAATCTGGAGCACTAAAGACTTGAACACCATTTCTTCAAAAAACAAAAATCTCTTTATTTACAGATAATTCAGTCAACAAAATAGACCAGCAATGAAAAATCAGAAAAATGGCTGTATTATCTGAAAGCCTGTTAAGGAAAGAAATAAGAAAAAAGACTTTCTTTTGCAAACACATGACATATGATTCCAACTAACATCTCACCATTCTCTCTTCTGGTCAGCAAACACAGCACATGGCAGACAAAGGGGCACTGCAGAAAAATGGTATCAAAGAAACACTTAATTGGGGACAGTCTTTGCTTTTCACTTCTCCAAAACAACTATGAGGAGTTAGCATTTCTTTCTAAAACTTAGGATATATTAGTGACATTATATTGGACTATTTGACTTTCAGTACTTTAAAAATATCAGCTCAAGGTTGCCCCAGGCCTTAAATAGCCTGATTGGGCTAGCACTCTGAAAGCAGACTGGGCCCAATTTGGGAATAATTTTAGGAGTTTTAAGAGCTGAAAGGGGAGCCTTATGCACCTGCAAAGCTTTAAATGCCTATTCACTCCTTGCCGCTCCTCCCAATGTGAAAAGGAGCCATGTTTTTAGCCCTTCTCACTCTGGAGTACACAAAAGGTATGGTAACATGCAGCATGTGGTCTCAGGCAGTATTTTTGTACTTTTGTTTTTTAAAAAAACGTTCTAATCCACCATTGGAGTAGCAAAAGGACACCTAATTATGTTCCTTTTTGAACAG